TGGTGACCCCCGGGGGCCCGCGAAATGGCGCCTTAACCGCGACGTATAGGATGGCGGCGGGGGCATTGCCCGTTCCCCGGGAAAACGCCGTTCCCTCCCTTCGCCCTCTATTTCGGGGCGAAGCGGAGCGAGGCGTTAGTCCTGCCCGGCCCCCGGCATCGCCCCGCTTTAAAAATAAAGCTCCCCGCGCTCTCTCCCGCAGCCATGAAGGCCGACCGCAAGCGCTTGAAGGCCGAGAAGACGGACCTGGTGAGCCAGATGCAGCAGCTGTACGCCACGCTGGAGAGCCGCGAGGAGCAGCTCCGCGACTTCATCCGCAACTACGAGCAGCACCGGAAAGTGAGTGTTTCGGCGGCGAAAAGGCCCGCGGCAGCCGGGAATAAATAAATAGAGAAGGAGATCCGGCCGAGGATCAAAACTGAGCTTGGTTTGAAGGCACGGCTTCATGATGGGGCTCAGACTGCAGAAAAGAAACTCATCAGCATCAGCCCTATCTTTTCCTGTGCGCCGAAACCTTGAAATAGCTTATTTCCAGGGACACGTTTTATGGTTGCCCTTAAGGTTAAGAGCTTGTTCAACGAACGCCCAAACCGCAACGTCTAGAGTAAGCTCCTTGATAATAAATAGCGTTTCTCTGCCTGTTTTCAGCGTCTGAGCTCCGTTTAGAAGAGAAAGAAGGTTCAAGTGGTTTTTAGGCACGGTTTACTGTTTCGTTTTTGATTAGCCCATATAGAGGCATCCACCGAAACGAGCAACCGTGGGAATCCAACCTCTACAATGATTCTGGGCTTTTTTCCATGCAAGGGGAGAAATTTGCTATTTTTAAAGCATTGTGCCAAGGGAACATTGCTTGCATGCAGCTCTGGGGTTGTTTTTTGTTTGTTTTTTTTTTTTTAAGGGAACTTGGAGGGTTTGTTTAATCTCCTGCCATCAGAAATTTTTTGTAATTTTAAACGCGCACACCCTGCCCTGCAGTCAGGTGCATAGCCTGAAAACGCCATGAGAAAGAGTTGCGCCTCCTCCTCCTCCCGGCGCTTGTGCTTGCTCCCAGCCCTAAATGCTTGCTGCCGGAGGTAAGCCGGAGGCTGCGACTCCTTGCTCCCGCCGGCCGCGCTCTCTCTGCTGCCTTTCTGGCAAAAGGCTGCTGTTTCCACTAGGGACGCTTGTGATATGTAAAGCTGACATTTGCCTTTTAGCACCGAAGTGATTGGATGGCCCCCGAGAGGGTCATGTCCGCAGCGCGACGGAGGCTGGGAGAGGTTTTGCTGTAACCTCGCTGCCTTGCCGCGTCAGCAGAGGGGTGTTTGGCAGGCAGACGAGGACACCTGAGTTTTGCTTCTTGGGGCGCTTCGGGTCGGGAGTCATAACTGCATACCCGCGGGTGTCCCGGCAGGAGAGCGAGGACGCGGTGAAAGCCCTGGCGAAGGAGAAGGACAAGCTGGAGCGGGAGAAGTGGGAGCTGCGCCG